GATATCCCCATGACAACCAGCTTTGTTGTAACACTCAATACTGATCTCCCAATTTCCAACCGGAATGTAAGAACAGTGTACGACAATCAAAGGAAGACAGCGCGACATACTCCGATCACAGGGTGGGCGATGGTGCATTTGACTAGGTGAAACAGAGCCACACAATGAAATAATACTTGTTTCTTAAAATTAACACACCTCAACTGCAACACAAGGTTTTATCATTTCCAATCCAATGGGAATATTGCCGCGACTCCAGGGAGTAGAAAATTACTCGAATGAAACACAACTATTGAATCCATAAAATTATTTTTCAGATGACACAGGTCAAGCGGTTTAAGGCTTTAGTGGTCGATTGATTGATTGAAATCAGCACCAATTAAGTAGTAAATCAACAGAAGCCGTTGTGGAACGAATTCAATGTGATTTATCAACGTGATTATCTGAATGCTTGCATCGGTCATTTATTTCATAAACGCATTGCACAGTGAGTTAGATCTTGCTACTATCTTGGAACGTCTAGGTATTACCGACGGCGCGGTTATGCATCTTTGTTGACTGATCCCTGTCTAGGGCAATTAACGACTGATCGAATGATTGAAAAAATATCACTTGATTTAGCGTGAGTTGAATGGTAGCGCTAACCACGTGATGAAACGAGTTAGGCGATCGACGCACTGGTCTGAACATCGTTTACTGAGCATGTGGTGTACACCTTGCCAGCCTACAAACGGAATGTTTGCGCCCCAGCTGGGCAAAAGGACTATAGTTCTCCTGATAGTGGGCTAAATTGAGTTCGGGTTCGGCGCTTCCGTGATTGTGACATACGAGTCAGAAAAATGAGGAAAACAGATAAACCTGTCCGGTGTATGGCTTTGTGAACGGATGATGACCATGGATTACATCGTTTATTCAGTATGTTTATAGTACCAGCTTCTGAGACATCGCTCAACCGAATGAAACATAGTGATCTAACTTAACGAGTAAGCTTATCTCAGTGGGCAACGTTACAGTAAGTTCTCACTGTAGTAATTCACCATAAAAATGTAGGTTTTATTGAAATACGCACGATGAAAGTGAACAAACATAGATTCTGATACCGACAAAATGCACAATCATGGTTAGTTAACCATCGCTTGTGTCCGCAATGAGTAGAACAAAGAAATGGGCAACACAGATGAAGATTGAGATGACTTTAGATGTCCAACGCGCTTGAAATAGAACCTTAATTGTGCATCCGAATCTGAGATCCATCAAAGACAATGAATATGTCTTCAATAAGTAGTCTTGATAGAAACGAAATTTTCAGATCATGACGGAACTGGACAAGAAACCGAGTGTGCAAAATCGATTAAAGATAAGCTTTTGAAACGACCGGAGTAGGTGGGTGAAAAAACCTGGGAAAATGAGATTAGCCGCTGCTCCACGCAAGAGCGGAAAGCGCTTTTCCATCGACAGACAAAACTACTGATTAGTGGAGCCCACAGTGCGAAACAATCTGCGGTGAATAATCGGACTTACGATCCGAAATAAGCGTCATCGATTAGATCGCTCAGGGAGAGCGGGAGAGTACCTTGAAGGATAATTCAAATCGACCGGCTCTAGCATAATGACGCCCACTCCATAGCAGACAAAACTCAATGAGTGATCTCAGGTAAAAACCCTGAAGTAGCAAAAGCACTTGTATTCAAGCGATGCAACTAGAGCCGACGACCTTCCAATTCCTTTTCAAGATGGGAGTGAGTCACTGATGAAATGTATTAATGTTTCACGGAAAAGCATGTGATTTGAAGCCCACATTCTATCCCTAATCAATGATGTTTGCTTGCTTCTCTCGACTGATCATTTCCACGACGAATGCGCTGGCACAATGAAAGAGGGATAACCACAACCGCAGGAACGACTCGAATAGCGTACGCAAGATGGAAATCATCAACTTATTCTATTTTATCGGTTTCAAGCAGGTAAAAGAGAAGTAAGCGGTTGGTGGTGTTGAACACGTCGAAAGACTCAATGTATTTAGATGCCAGTTCATCGAGAACGTGAAACATTTAGTAAATTTATAAAAATTCCTAAGGATATTTCATTTAAGCTACATTCCCCAAGCTTTATTGGTTTGGTTACGAGGCTTCCGACCGAAACATTTCCTAGGAGTTACGTGATCGACAGCCCTGGTAAATATTTTATTCCGATCACTTTCAGCCTTCTCCCTCGATAAGCACCGTAGACCAGGGAAGTCTTATCTGGTGATGTGTATAACACATGCCCCAGAAGTGCGAAGGACAAACAATGGCTGTGGGGTTCGAACATGGCTTTCATGATGATGTAACCGGGATCCGTGTCGCTTGCAGGTTGATTGAGGAAAACAAAAATGATTCTGCCTCTTTGTTTGCGTGTGTCTTTGATTTCCGGAAAACAGACGAAAACAATCAGCCAAAAGACTGTGAAGAAGAATATCACTTTGCCTCGTGCTCACATGCGCATCTTTCTCGTCGCAAATGTATGACCAGAGAAGGAGGAAAAACAGAGGAAGTTGCACAAAGTTGAAAGTTCTAGTCGAATAGGAAACAGTTTCCGGGAAAGAGGAATACACCAGCTTGAGCCAGACAGAGAAAATAAACAGATGCTCTGACGTTCAGTCGAACACAAACCTGCATCAAAGCATTTTTCAATGGGCTTCACGAGTGTAGGATCGAACACAGAACACATAGATCCCCTTTGTTTTCCATTGGTCGATACGTTAATTCACGACGCGTCAACTGAGATAGCAATGGGGATCCCTCGGTTTGATTGATTCTGTTAAAGTTACAAGTCTACACCGATTCACGTGCATTAATTTCTGTCCCTCGATCTTCCTTCCTTTCTCTCCCTCACACACACACACACACACACACACACACACGGATAACCAACAATCCTATGCTATAACGACTCAGACAACCTGGGTCAATCAACCCTGGGACGACTTCCAATGCCCACAGTTTGTACAGAAATCTAGCATTCCCCCATAGAGTGACTCATTCCGATCAATCAAATTAACGATGTCATTGTGAAATTAAAAAAGACTTTGTTCTCCATTAGATACAATGAGGAATTGTATTGGTTTATTAAACAAGCCGCTGAAAGAATCTGGTTTTATGAAGAAGCTGAGGAGAAAACGATGTCAGTTAAGCAATAAAATTGATGACCAGAAATGACATACAAATAAAAAACAAGAATTTTAGATGGAAGTCCAGGTGTTGGAGTAACATGCTTAAGAGGTATTTCCCCGATCGATATGTGACGTGCAGTCAGGTTTTAAACATATCCATTATCACTTGGACTAGCAGAGGTTTAGGGCAGTAGTTCCTACTTTTAACACTATAGAATCAATGAAGGCAGCACGTGGGTTTACGACCCCACCTCATTGATGCAGTAGTTGCAACAAGTGACTGACCTAATGACCTTGAGCGTTGAACAGTCACTCACCAAACGAGAGTTGGTTTTCATCACACAAAGACATCACCGCGCGCGCGCACACATACATTAACTGGCCTCACAGTGACCGGTATGAGCTAGATAGATAGGTATTTACGCTTGTCCACATGCCACCACGTGTGTCAGTCACCAGCCGAGCGTGTATAGAACGAGGACTGCATATGCATAGCTTATTTTGACAATGGCAAAATGAGAATAGCTACCGATACACGTGCGTTCGATGAGGCGGTAAAAGCCACAGTAACCTTACTTACCATTCGGTTCACGTCATTACGCAGTTTTGTGTGGTGCAAACGATTAGGAATGGGACAAACAAATGCGATTACACACGCACATGAGCCCGCCCAGTGTGTTACGGCAAAAAAAACTTCCATTTCAGAACGGGGGATACATAATGTGATTGGTGAATGAAAAACAACCTGCTATGCGTACCCTGCCAATGAGGATCTCAAACAGTTGTTTGTTCGTCATCAGTCGCATTTTGAACACAAAAGGATTACGATGAACACATCAAGCAACAGTCAGCCAAGTAATTCAGCCATTATCTAGCATAAAAACGCAAGCGTAAACCGGCACCGACCACATCCATCTTAGGTGAGGGGTGAGCTTGTCGTTTTCATTTTGGATCCAGTGAACTATGATGCATCATCAATCAAAAGGTGGTATTGTGATCAGAACGTTCTTCACACATTTTTCACTACCAAAAGTCACCGCAAGGGCCACTGATCGGACTTGAGATATCACTACCAAGGCAGCTATTCAGTCAGTTGGGCAAAGACAGTACGACCTAGAATACTGTGGTTCTCCTGTCCGTATCCAGTGCTAAAGATACACTAATCAGAAGAAAATTGTGGGGTTTCAAGTCGTTGTTTGATCCAAACAATCGTCTTGAAGGGATTGCCAAAACAGGCGCTATATGAAAGGAATCCTTGGGATGAGGTGCTTGCTAACCAAACACAAATTGGTATCATAAGGTGCTACTACTATATCCCGTGTTAGTTCTCGGCTGCAGAAGATGCACTCCGCCCCACCGCACTAAAAGACATTAAAATCTACAAGGAGTTTGAGAAAAACAACTCGGAATTGTGAACACAGTAGAGAAGCAATTAACGCCACCGACATAAACACTCGAGGTGTCAGTTGTTGTAGGTGACAGTGAAAAATCATGGTGGTGTTGGTCAAGCGGTTTGACTTGCTGTTATCGGTATTCTCTGGACTCGGGGGTCTGAGGTTTGGGACCTTACCACATCACTCATCTTTGGTGGTTTGTTGTTTTCCAATCGTTCGGCTCACTATCGCGTCTATCCTATTGGTTTTTCCTCCAAATTCCAGAACTCAAGTTATCGGCTTTCATGACTGATCACGAGGTACTGGTGCTTATGGGGTTCACACACACACCCCATCCTCCCTCGACTACAAAACACAATAATATCTAAGGATAAAAACTTCTAAACTGGATGCTGAACAGGTATTAATTAAGTCTAATACATGGAATGGTTCAACTGTATCGCAAATTACATAAATAACAAGAAACTTACTATTAACATCTTGTTGTGATTCAGACCACGGGGCCAAGTCCATGGAAGATTGAGGCTGCATTGACATGGCAGCCGTATGCACAAATGGACCGGACACGGATCCGGCAAACACGCGGCCAAATCCCAGAGCACTGGAGCTACTGGCACTGCTTGCGTAACTGGCCAAACTGCCTGTGCCTGAATAGCCGTACCCGTACCCGTAACTGACTGACGAGGCCGAGGATGGGGCCGTGGTTGATCCGGGCCCTGTGGCATAGCCCAAACTGGTGGAGGATGCAGTAGACGGTTGGCGACGATGCAAACACGGTGGAGTACTATTGGTCAATGTTATACTGGCAGTTGGTGGAGTGTGTTCCGAGTCTCGGGGAGCCTGGGATTGGGAGTTGACCCGGTTCAAGGTTCCTGAACCTGTAAGACCATTAGTCTGCGGGCCTGGTGGATCTCGTCCACTACTGGGATCGCTCATACCGGATTCAAATCTGTCAGGGTTAGAACGAAAGCAGTGCAATTCATCATATTACTTATAGTAATACTTCACACTTGAATGAACCTAAATGGACCACAAGGTTTCAGATCTTAGTTGGAAAAAGATCTAGTGAACAAATGAAAATATTCATTATTCACATTAGGTATTTACTTCCTCAAATCGAAAAACCATCGGTTTTCAAGAGAGGGTAGCAGGTCGATCAAAAAAGTTAGGGGTTACAAAGACTTGCGAAAATCATGTATCGATTACGAAATTCGAATGAATGACCTCCTGGTTAACGTACTGGTGGCCAACCCCGTGTGATGTCTACTAATTTCATTGCTTAAAGTACCGAACAAAATATTACTAATTAAATCAATCAATCAATCATTTTGAAAAAAACATTAACCTTGCAGTGTCGGGCGACGTTGCTAAATGGGTCGGTTTTATAATCACCTTCAAAAATGACAATATTCTTATTTGTATACTATCCTTAAACAAACCACTAGGTTTGCTTATATGGACGAAAATGCTCCATCTTTGCCATCGCCTAACAAGATGGAAACTGGTTCATTCTCGTCAGATAAGTAATGCACTTTTCGCTCTACCGACTGTGCGGAGGAAGACGAACTACATAATTCATAACACCTTTTCTCCGAAAATCATTGCAAAACACGTTGTGGGTGGTATTCGAGTGGGAGTCACTTCTAACAGTACACATTTATAAGATGTTCAAATAATCCAGTAAGCAGCTAACGTGAAACCGTTCGCCGAAACAATGCTTCAGGAGTCTAGTTTCGAATCACGTCAACAAAAAGATGTTTCAAACAGAACAAAACGCAGTGAAGAAACTCGTTTTTAGCGAATCCTAATCATGCTCATACATCACAGGCACTTAAGCTTCTCTGTCCCACCCTCACAGAGCAGTCTCAAAGATTGGATGAGTGAACGAATAACTGTGTGATCATTGTGGATCCTACATCCAGTTTCAAAATACAACCAATTATTGTAGTTGTTTCTTCAACAAAAGTGTTTTCTCTTTACATAGTGATATACATATATATACCTAGTGATGTACTGGAATAATTATCTCATTGAAAATAAGCTTGATTACCACATTATGTGCTTTGTTTTCAGTGCGCTCTGTGGAACTGTACAGTTAAATAAATGTTTGCTTTTATCAACCGGCTGATACGAATTATACAGCGATTTCAACGGATATATCATTGCAGTGTAAAGTAATCAGTGAAAATGGAGTTTCCTGATGATTTCAGCCTTTGAATAGCCACGTCATATTAAAACTGTTGCCTGCAAATAACCTGCTCAAAGCTTGACTTTAGGAAACTGGTAAAGGGAGACGGAGGGTGGAAGTACATGTGTACCGTACCATGCCTGTAATTATTCACTCAGAACAAACTGGGAAATAGTTGGAAACTATGTTGCAAACCTGAGGCTAGAAGCTTCAAAATACATGAAAAATGAGCAACAAAATTAACCAATACAATAGCCTATACGAATCATTCTCTCACAGTCGTAGATGGGTGCTGGAGTAGAACGAATGACAGATTCGAAGTGACAAAAGTTCTCGAACGAGCTGGCTTCCGTGACACACTAGCTGGCGAATGACTCAGCGTGAAAGGACAATACAAAGCACCGGCATTGCGNGGGGGGGGGGGGGGAGTCAGAACGGGGGAGCATGTACAAAAATGTCATGAATTATGGCAGATTTGAAGGATGGAGACTGGGGTTCGAGGTAGATGAAATCAAGCCTTATGTGCATGCGTGCGTGCTTGCTAATGCAACACGGTACACAAACTGACCTGTCTGGCCAAGTGGTTTCCGCAGCTTGGAAGATAACGAATGAATCAAGTTCTCTCGACACTTCACACAAAACACATGATGTGGGGGGGAGAAGGGTGAAGAAAATTATCTTCATCAATCGCTGTAACCAACGTAACTATATGACTGTGTTTGTAGAGCCCACAAAACTGACAAGTAAATAAGCCGGCTGCCCGCCAGACACGTGCAACCCAGCATGGTTACCACGAGGTCGTTCGGTGGAATTCAAACACGGTCGAGAGCGATCGCTTAACACGAAACGGCATCGTAGTGATTGGATTTGAAGTTAGCGAATAAGGCCCCAAAAATCAATGAACAATTATGCTGTTGAGTAACGTACATGATTCTAAATGATTCTAAATTTGGGACTAAACAGACAAATCCGGGCACAGTATCTGAACGAAGCTGGTTTGTAGCTACTGTTTACTATATACTGAAAAGAGATTGCCATAAAAGCAAAAGTTCACTAAAAAGCGCGCAGTATGGCGTCACGTCGAACGGTATATGGCCCATTCCAATAGCACTAAGCTGCACTGCATGTGTACGCAAGCGGTGAACCGTAGACAAACCGCAATCTCCACTAAAGTTAGCTGATTTGATAGAAGCACCTGATAATTTGAACACTTAAAACCCAATCGGAAACAATGCATATCACTTAAAAAGAGATTTCATAAGTTTATTTACGTAAGTGAATTTATTTCGATTGAAAAGTACCATGCTGATAAACAGAATTGGCACGAAATAAAGTAGTTCCCGGGAAAACAAACGCATCATTTCTCATTCCCGTTTGCTTAAAAGAATGAATATATACATTTTGTGTTCTCTAATCAGGCGAACGAGACCTAATTTTTATTTAGTGCATTGAATATCCATGTCATTCATTCTATCTAAATGGGGCACCAAAAGGCAACAACCAAAACTGGCGCAAGAAAGTGTATGGTTAATGGTTGTAACAAAAGAAATGAACTGATATCCATGTCAACTTAATTTCTTCTCGTATTTCAATCCAACTGCATTGTTGGATTCACGCACACATAAGAAAAGCGCGGCTCAGTGTGAGGCTGAAATTTACAAAAATACATCTGCTATACTGCTGTTTCTCCCTTTAATGCTGCCCATTGTGCAACTGAGAATGGTTATTGACTAAAATTCCTAAAAGCAAGGCATTTTAGACAGAACGAAACGAGCTAGCGTTCTCTACCGCTTATCATCGTGTACTGCACGGTAGCTCAGATGAACCCCGTAGTCACGCCTATCCAGAAACCGGCAATCTAAAGTGCGAGGATTGGTTTGGCGAATCATGCAAAGACCTGAAAGAATAGGAGTAGCATTGACACGGACGATCGCGTAGTTGCTAATCAAGAAATACGAGTAGCGGTGGGAGCAGAGGTCGAACCTTGTACCCTGTGAGTCCGGAGCACGGTAGAGGCTACAACTAAGACCGTTGCGTCAATCGCTTCATTCTTTACCCTCCGCCATTATGAAATGAGATGTGAATGACATTCCAGGACAGTATTGGAGTGTAAGTAAACTGCATAATATATAATAATGGAGGCTTTTGACACTGTGATTTTTCTGTAAAACCCACCCCATCACAGTAGCATTCCCTGAATATATGCTACGTTCTGATTACGAATCCGGTCTATAGGATCCAGTCGAACTGCTGCTGTTCAAGTTCAAATCGCCGCGAGATCTTCCATTTAAGAAACTAGTGCTTTGAAAGCAGGAATCACGAAGAAGAGTAAAAATGGGATGCACAATTCACCTCAAATTGACCTCATTTGCGATTTTCGTGGAAAATGACTAGTTGCCATTGCAAAAAGAAATATCTCTGTGGTACTGTCATTTTGTTCGCAGTCTAACTAAATAAATGAACAGGGGATATGAAAAGTTTTTCCTGTACCATAGAAAAGAGACTAGCAAACAAAGGGCTGAGCCAATTCGATAGAGTAAGGATCTGCTTTGAAGCCAACTTCCCAGTATCGCGAGATGAAACAAAAGAATGTGCGAAGCAAATAACCCAGATGACCTATCGTTGGATCATGAGATCCGACGGGCACCATCCCGCAGTATGGATGCGGAGTACGACTTACATTGTGTATCAACTTAGTTCCTTGTGATCCTTGTGACAGCTTTTGCCTGCACGTTAATTGGATAGCCAAAAACTGTCCGTTTATTAAAAATGAACACAACGTTAAAAACACCGTTTCAACTTCCTCTAAAACTGCAATGATATTCACTTGTCCAGACAGTGAGTTCCTCAATAATAAAGCGATCGCACGGTGTGCAACTTACGGCAAACAAACAACACAAGCCTGATAGCGACACTATCTACGCGACTTGGGGAAATGGAGAATGAATGAATGAATGAATGAATGAATGACACCTCCGTACCGTGCAACAATCAACCAAATGAGCGAGCCTGTTGTATGGATGGACCGGAATAATACGGGTTAGAACCAAAAGCGGCATTGTTAATCCAATCCCGGAAATATGAGTGCAACACCCATTCCCATCGACCCATGGAGCGATAAGATAACCAGAAACGTTTGAACCGATTTCCTGATTGACATAACCGATTGACCAAATTCAAAGCACACAACTCCATGGTTGTCCGGACAACCAGTTGATGGAGTCTGATCCAAGATGAGGTGACACGTGGATGAACTGTTATCGAGTGAGTCACGTCAATCACGGGCATTATCGTCAACCGTATCACGGGGCGGTTGGCATGTTTACAAAAACTGTTGCTATTGTGTTTGATGGCCACTACTTCCATTTGGTAATGCATTGAACAGCAGAGAAGAAATAGGGTTAGGTCACATTCGGGTCATCCGAGGAGGGGAACCAGCCACAAATATTTACACAGATAGAACGAGAAGGGGAGGGGAGAAGGGCACGCCAAAGTCGTCTTAGACAACACAAACGAGGACATTTCGACCATACAGGATGATCAAGTGATGATATATAACAAGATGAACATAGAAATTTATCGACGTATTCAATTGTTTTGGACAACTCAAACATAAAAACATGACAAGTTGTAAAGAATACAAATCCTCATGCTCACACATATGCACACTTCTAAAGACCCGAGAGGAGGCAGACCAGTACGAATTACCCAGCACAAAGGTGTGCTAAATAGGTAGGGTGAACAGCTG